ATTACAGGCACGTTCCACCACCACACCTGGCACCCCACAAATGGGGTCCTTACCATTTGATTCTATAAATGTGCTACCATTTTTGTTAGCTGTATTTTTAGACATCCCGGATGAAGTTTTTGATGCCATGTCCTTACCTCCACTGAATCTCTAAACACTATGATTATAGGACTACACTGCATTCTTGTTTTTAGGACTGTATGTAGCATTTTAGGCAGGACCAATTGCATAATTTGTGGAGACTCATTAAAAGTTAAGAAGTTCAAGCCAGGCATGGTGGCAAGTGCCTGTAAGCCAAGCACTTGGGAGGCTGAGACAGGAGGATTGCTGCAAGATTGGGCTATGTAGTGAGCTCAAGGCCAGCTTCAACTACATAGTAAGTAAGACCCTATTTCAAAAAACCTGCATCCAGGGCTGGGCGATAGCTTGGCAGTCTAAGGGCCTACCTGGCAAGCACAAGGACCTGGGTTCGATCCCTGTTACTGCATGCATGTCGTGCCTGCCCCAGGCCCCCAGGTGTGCGCTGCTGGCCACTGAAACCAGTCATGGTGGTGCATGCCTGTAATCCCAGCACTGGGGAGGCTGAGACAGGAGGATCACTGAGTCGAAGCGGTGTAGCGAGACTGTGTAGCAAATAAATAAATAAATAAATAATTTAAAAAACACCTTTATCCGTTCACATATCCATCCATTATCTCAAGCATTAATGGAGCATCTTTTAGTGTCAGGCTCAGTGCTAGGTATGAAGATGAGGTCCAGGTGGGGAGTGCAGCAGATAGCAACCGTAGGAGCCACTGAAGGACCCAAAGACGGAAAGAGCCCCTGTGGGGTGGGACTGGGTGTCCTGAGGCTCCTGGCTGTAGGGAGACCATTCTTCTGAGGTGTCACACATTTCTCCAAGTCCCAGAGCTTCAGCGTGGACTGCTTGTATTCTGGACTCTTTGCAGGGTGGTATATGGTGAAAACCCCAGGAGACAGGGTCCGGCTCTCCTTGGGCCAGAGGTGGACTCGTTGGCTGTCCCATGTCAAGATGATAATGCTTGCCTCTGCAGGTTCATTTTGCAGCTCCTTACAAGACATGGGTGTCACCTAAGCCGGGAGTTCCCAGTTTTGCAAAACTAATATGTCACAGATCCTTCGGGGCTGCCTCAGCGTGGCCCCAAGGGGCTGCGGTAGGGGAACTGTTACACTTTTGACCTAAAGTGACCCCCAAATCCTCAAGTGTTTAAAAAGTGATTGGATTTGGTGGCTTGTAGCTGACTTGCTATTGGAAAGTGGGGTCCTCTCTGGCTCCCCCCTCCCCCCTGCTTCCTGTCCTCCATGCTGTGAGCAGCTTCCACCACAACGCCCCCCTGTGCCATGCAGGTCTTCCTAGAGCCACTCAAGCATGGTCTGCTGCTATCTCCACTTTGCATTTGTATGTATCGGGTATTTGATCCCAACAACGAGAATGTGATGAAGACAGAAACTAATGTGGTTGTGACGTTCATACCACCTGCTGTGCCTTGAATCACAAAGTCCTTTGTCTATGACCCAGTTGGTGTCTCCATGTGTTCCTGAAGCCACGGCAGGGCAGACAAGTGGGACAGATGGTCCCAGCCATCAAGGTTCTTGACCTCTGGTCTGTGTCATTTGGGGTCTATAAGGGGACCTTGCAGGAGCCCCTAGGGCTGTAGTGGGGCAGGATGATGCGGGGCCCCTGGGAGCCCCAGGCAAGCAGGAAGAAGGAAGCTGAGATCCGCTGAGGCAGGAAGTGTCTGAGTGCCCCTAGTGAGTAATCTCCTGCCAAATCCCAAACATCCAGCAGATGCAGGGGAGGGGCTCTGGGGCAGAGCAACGGAGCCTCCTCTCTAGAGCTTCCTGACTGGGAGGCAAGAAGCCAGTGTGGGGTGAAGCTGGGACACTCTGGGCACAGAAAAAGCCAGGGTCCCTGGGGATCCTGAAAAAAGACCCCTTGTATCCCTCAGGTACTGAGATTTGCATTCTGCTGCCTACCCATCTCCACTCTCATGCCCTCCTGTGAACTCGGCTCCATGCAAGGAGACACTGACCCCCAAACACGGCACTGTCTGCCTATGCCCATCCCACAGCAGAGCGCGGCAGGAGTTAATGCTGCCACAGAGCAGCCCTTGCTCTGTGGGGACCACAGCACTGCTCAGCAATCTCCTTTCTGCTGCCCCACAGTACCTGGGGACCAGCCAGGCCTGCCGAAGGGCTCACTCCTGCTCCAGGGAATGGGGTGAGGCCCGCTCTGAGCTGCTCAGACCTCTCCAGAGCTGTGTGTGGCTGCCTACCCCGGTGAGGGGGTTTGGAAGTGTCTGCCTCGATGTCCTGTATGGATTTGAAACGTGCCCTTTTCATGGTCCTTTTGACTTTGGGGAGGAGCCAGAGTTTGCATGGTGCCAGATCTGGTGAATAAGGCAGATGAGGAAACAGGGCCACATTGTCACGAGCCTGCTTGTCCATTGAACGGCCAAGCACTCGGCAGCAGTGCTCCCCATATTTTTTATGACAGCTCATAAGACACTGAGGAAAGAGGACTTGCAAGACTGCTTCGGAAAGCGGCAAGGCAATGGGATGGCTGTGTTTGAAAAAGGAAACAGGATTCATAGAAGCGTGTCTTTTACTATAACAACTTATTAATTTTTTTTTTTTAAGAAGAGGAAGAATTTATTGAAAGCAAGTTCTGTCTAAGAGGAACAGAAAGGGGCCCAGAAAGTGGGTTGCTCCATAATAGTTTTTTTTTAAAGCATAAATGTTCACCTTCTGGTTTGATCATCCCTTGCATTTATCTGGTGTCAGGCTATACTTAAAGTCCCCAAAGGCCACAGAAGTCAGTGTTGTGCTTCAAATGCACACAAAGAACACACGTTGGGTTTTGTGGTCTGAGTACGCTGGGCGAGCACAGCATCTCTACTCTTAGAGCAAGGGTTCAGCATGGGTGACCCTGACAGCCATGGCCCTCCCCGCAGGCCAGGTCTTCAAGGGACGAAAGGCAACACCCAGCTGCCACAGGGTCCCTGAGTGTGGGCCACCCCAGGCAGAGGGCCAAGCTGGCCCAGGGCAGGCAGACTGATCTCAGGGACACAGGGCTCGGGGTCAGCTGCCTGCTCACTTATGGACTTCCAGGTCACAGCCGCTCATGAAGCCTGCCACCTTCCAGGGCAGTTCGTTCTGACCTGGGATCTCTCAGCCAGAGCCAGCGCTGGCCTGGACTTGCCTGTTGGGCCAGCTCCACCTGCAGGCTGCCCAGAGTGGGTGGGAACCAGGGCCTGGGAGAGAACTTTCCAAGGAGCCCACAGCTGCAATTGCAAGGAAGCAAGGTGGCTGGTGGAGTCCCATTCCCAGCAGCGGGAGGCTGGCACCACGCTGTGGTCGCTGCAGCCCAGGGCCCCTCCCTCCCTTCCATAGAGCTTCTGGGGTCAACCTGGAGGGTGGGGAGCTGGCTGTCAGGCCCTTTCTGCATCACCCAGTGTGACTGGTGACTCCTTGCTGATACGGGCAGGTGCTTAGCGCACCTCCAGGGACAACGCCGTGGTCACCGGCTGTCCTTCCACAGTGTGGGTTCATCTATTACAATGATTCATGCTCCCTCCCTTCCCCAGACCTTCAAAGTGGCTACACTGTATCAAGTGGATGGTCCCTAAAATCCATGTTACCCAGAGCCCCAGCAGGAGAAGCTTCCTTCTTCCATAACCCTCTGGCGGATTCCTTTCTCTTTCCAATTTGTCCTGGAGCCCATCACTCTGGAGCCTGAGGCAGAAGAATCACCTTGAGTTCAAGGTGAACCTGGGCTACCTAGGGAGACCCTGGCTTACACTAAACAAAACAAAATCAAAATCAAATTCTTTCTGGATTGCTGTCTAAAGTAGCATATTCACCAGGCCTAAGAATCAGGATGTAGATATTCAAATCAGCCATGGGTGGAGGCTGGGAGGTCCCTGGGAAGGAAGGAGTTCTTGGGGACTCTACCCATTTTCTAAACCACCAACAGAGTTCTTAATCTGCTTATCATCTTTATGTCACTTAAGTCCTTGTGTCATCGTGTGCTCGATTTCACCTCTATCATCAGACTGTCAACATGAATAGACCTTTTTCTCTTTCCTTCTTTCTTTTTTTTTTTTTTGGTCTTTTTGAGTCAGGGTGTCACTATACAGTGCAGGCTGGCCTAGAACTCCCTTTGTAGCCCGTGCTGATCTTGAACTCGCAACAATCCTCCTGCCTCAGCCTCCTGAGTGTTGGGATTACAAGTGTGCGCCACCACATCTGGCTAACACGAGCAGACTTAATGGACCCCAAATATCGAAGAAAAGCTTTATATGCTGACTAAGCTCATTCATGTTCATTAGCTTCTTGCTGGAGAGGAAACACCGCAGGCCTGATTTTTGCTCAAGGAAATGAACCACTTTGAGTACAAAGACTGTCATCTCTGTGTTACTTATAAGAAGGACAACTGTAAACAAGCCAAATGTCCACCTTGGGTCTCTAGTTCAGGCTGGCTTCAAACTTACTATGTAGCCCAGAGTGGCCTTAAACTTGTGACAATCCTGCCTCATCCTCCCAAGCGCTGGGATTGCAGGCTTGCACCGCCAGACCTGGCTCCACCTGCCTTTTCTTTAGGGCATCTATAGATCTCACCCCCTGTCCACACAGCTCACACTCACCTCCTGGCCCTCATCTTTGCCTTCTCCTTGCTTCTGTCTAAAGGGACTCAGCCTCTCCTGCTACAGCTGTGGCCATCTGGGGTCGAAGGCCAGGGCTCAGGGCCATACTTGAGGGTGTGTGTGTGTGTGTGTGTGTGTGTGTGGCTTCTCTCTTTTCCCACCTTCAGCCCAGCCAGTGTGGACTGGAATGGAGCAATGGGTGTATCGAGACTTTTTCCTGGTGGGGGAGAAGGTGGGGAGGGAACAGGGAAAGCCTGGCTAGGTGATTGGCATGGGCACCGCCCTCTTTTGTCCTCCTCCCTGGTACTTGCTGCCCTGCAGAGCACACACCTGAGAGGTGGCAGGCAGCAGGCACAGCCGCTGTTCATTCCTCACACTGCCACTTCTGTGCTGCGCAGCAGCAGCCGAGGATTGCGTGGAGCATGAGGGCGGCGCCGTGGGCCGGGGACCTCTGGGTGCTCCTGAGCTACCTGTGCTGCTGCCTCCTGGGTAAGCCCTGTGGGTGGGATGGCATGAAGGGGCCAGGGGAAGGTGGTTTTGTGGAGCTGTTGGGAGAGAGAAGTGCTGGGCAGAGGTGAGAAAAGATGAGGGAGAATGCTGGGAAGACAGGGTGGTCTGGTCTGGGGGACCCCTGGAGAAGCAGAGCCATCCAGGTTGGCCTTGAACTCACTGTGAATTCAGTGATGACCCCCTGTCCCAGTGTCCCAAGTGCTGGGATTATAGCTACCATCCCTGGCTGGGAACCACAACATGCAGTATTTTGTGTAGAGAAACAGGCAAAACTCCTAACGAAGGGAGGTGCTACAGAATTAAGAAGACTATGGCAGAAAAACCAGAAAGCAAGGGACAGACATTGGAAAGTCATAGAAAGATGCCAGGCCAGAGGACAAGACAGGCAGAAAAGACACAAATCAGAGCAACATGGGCACAGGAGGCAGAGAAAGTGCAGGAGAGAAAGCAAGGGACGGGCAGGGCTCAGGAGCTGGAGGATGAGTAGAAACGGGATGGGACAAGAGCCATGGAGATGCTCGTGGCCTGGGCTGAGCTTGAGGGTCCCCCTTGGTGGCTGCTGGCACCCTAGGGCCCTGGGCCAGGTCTACTGCTGTCCATATGCCCTGCTGTGGTTGAGGCCCGGTGGGACCTCCCTGCATTTCCATCCTGTATTGATGGATGTCTGGGGCTTGGGCCCAGCTGAGGGTGAAGGGTGGGGAAGCTTTCACCCAAGGGTCCTTCCCCTCCTGGGCAGAGGGTCAGGAGCAACGCAGTGATGGCAAGGAAAACCATGCTGGTACCAGGAAGGTTCTGCCTTCCCTAAAATTTTAAGGGGGCTCGGGGTGGTGGCGCACATCGGTAATCCCAGCACTCAGGAAGCTGAGGTGGGAGGTTCACCCTGAGTTCAAGGCCAATCTGCACTGCATAATGAGACATTGTCTCAGAAAAACAATGAGCACCCTCCCTCAAATAATAGTCTGAAAGCCTTGGGCCACTGCCTTGCAGCTGGAAGGTCTACAGAAAGGGACAGCAGGGTCCCTCGGGGCAAGTGCTTCCGTGGGAATGAGAAGGGCAAAGGATTATGCAGGAGGAAAGATGTCCCCACAGAGACCCTGTGCGCTGCTGGGAGGCCACAGGGAGCAGGGCGAGGCAAGCAGGCTTGTCAGCACAGGAAATGGCACCTGAGTGTGCCAGGGGGTGGCATGGGGGCCCAGCTGAGGATGAGCTGTCCCTGGGCAGGCCTGTCCCCAGAAGACTGCTGCTGGATCCCGGGGGAGCACCGAGGTCACTCCATATCCGAGTCCAGGATGCCAGGGTGCTCTCTGTGGCTCCTTGGAAGTGGGAGGCAGAGCTCTTTCCTCATGGTGGGTTCGCCTGTGCCAGCTTGCTTTGTTCCAAACGTGGCTTTGTGCACAGGCTGTGGCTCTGCTTCCCAGCCTGCACCAAAGTCTCCTCCACACACAGTGTCTGGGCCCAGCCCTGAAGCTGAGGTGGGCTTGGAGTGGTCAGATGGGAGGTGGCTTGTGACTCCACTGAGAGGCTGAGAAGCAGCTGCCTGTCTGTCCAGACAGCAGCTTTGCCACCATTTCTGCCCTCTGGTTTCATGACATATTAAGTGCTTCACACAGGCACATCCAAGGGGTAGTTGAAAAAGTGTTGAAATTCATAGTAAAAGAATGCATTGCTATGAATTCCCCCTCAAAATCCTCCCCCTCACCTTGAACACATTCATCTCACAGTTCTTGCCACTTTCTGCAGCAGCTCTGGTGTCCTCTTTCCTGAGGGTCTTTAGTTGTGCTGTCCCGGCTGCCTTGAGGTCCTGAATCCATTCTCTTTTATTGCCACTGTGACTTGGAGGAAGAGCCAGGAGCCACACCGCAGATCCAGTGAGCGTGGTGGAGGTGTTTTCACAAGCCGGCCTCTCTACTACATGGCACTCAGTGGCAGCATTCATCATGTTTTTGATCACATCTCCAAAAGATGTCGCCTGTGGCTCCCTGAGTCTCTTCTCTCCAAGCTGATGCGGGCCTAGAGACCAGGGCTCCTGGTTTTTGCCTTTGATCTCCACTGTGCACCTTTCCTCCTGTCAGTCTGAGTTCATTCCACGCATACACTGAGCTATTCAGCCAATTTCAGCCAAAACTGTCCTTCCAGACAATTACAGAGGGCTAGTGACGTGGGTGGTAAAAGGAACTTACCAATAGGCAAAGAGTGCAGGAAAGACTGGTGGGAGGAGGGTTGTTTTGTTTTGTTTCTTTGTTTTTTTGAGACAGGGTTTCACTATGTAGACTCAAGGTGATCCTCTTGCCTCTGCCTCCCAAGTGCTGGGATTACAGGTATGCACCACCATGCCCAGCTTGGACTGTTACCATCTAAGCAGGGTCAACCTTAGCTGGCCACCACCCAGAGCAGGGCAGGCGATGTGCACTGAGAGAAGCACTTCCTGACACCCTCGTAGCCTGACTTACCTTGTTCCAGCTTGCGTCTGGGCTCCAGCTTCCACTCAGCCCTCTTCCCTTCGTCTTTTTCTTGTGCCAGGGTTTCCCTGGGCATTGACACTTTTACAATACCCTCTCTCCTCCCTGGTTATTTTTCCCTGAACTCTCACCACAGGCTTAAGCTTGGAGTTTAATCTCTTGTGGCTTCTGTGGCATTGGGAGGGGAGTTGCTCAGCTGTCATAGATCTTTTCTTTAAATCATATTGCTACAAACAAAATAATAGTTCCTCTAGTCTCAGGGATTGGGGATCCTGGGGAGAACCAAAAAAGCTTCCCATGGAGAAAACAGAAGGAACTGGTTAAAGCAGCTGCCTGTTTGGGCATGGAGGAAGCCTTGTCCAGTCATGCCTGTGCCCAAGGCTACAATGACAGACCCAGCTCAGCTGGGACAGTGACCTGAAATCAGGAAGGATGGACCAAGATGGATTAGAATAATCCCTTTCCTTTTAGCCCAGGTAGATTGGTCAGAACTCTCCTGATGGGTCACCAAGCACTCTTTAAGAAACTGTACTTAGGTGACCCATGGGCGCTCTCTGGTATTACCAGAGAATTATAGCAGAAAACCAGGGTGTAGAGGGACAGACTGATGGAGGGTTGGCTAGTTGGGCAAGCCCTGGGGACCTGAGGGTGGCCAGAGGAAGAGTCCTCAAGGACACCCATGTCAACCTGGAGTTGAGAAGATCAGATGGGGACAGGACATAGGAACACAAGACATCTCTTCCTGAGACCTGAGAGTCAAATTCAGGCCAGTTCTTAGGCGCACAGGGCTGAGGCAGGGGCGCAGGGGAGGCCAGACCCTTGTCATGGAACCTGTGCAGGTGGAACACCCACCTTACAGGTGCCCTCAGACTGACGGACTTCCCTTTTCAGAGACACAGGAAATGCTCCCCTCTTTGGGGGCTGCCCCTAGAGGAGATCTCCATCCATGCAAGTGAAGACCACCAGCTTCACTCTGAGATCAACCATGGCACTGGGGCCACTGTCCTACTGCCTGAGGGACAGCCTGACAGGGGACAGCAGGGCCCCTCACTGTCCTAATGATATGGAAACCTGGTCAACAGAAGGAGGCTGGGAGCTGGTAGGGGTGAGAGAGGAGGACTTTGACCTGGCTTGGGGTTCCTCATGGAGGGCACAGATTCACCCCAGATGTCCCCCAGCACTGTATGGAAAGTGAGGTAGTCCAGAGGGAGGAGGAAGCGGCCCCTGACCTTTGGGACTGCATGGTGTCCTCCGTCCTCCACCGCCTTCAGGTCTCATGGGAGAATGGCCAGGCCAGGGTCCACCAGGGACAAGTGGGCAGGAAGACTTCCCGAAGGGGGCTTGTACTCCATTGGCCATGGTGCTCAGTATTATAGCCTGGGGGCCTTCAGGTCCCCCTGGGTAGCTGTCCCCACAGAGACTGTCAACTGCCCACATGTCATCCCGTCCACCTCAACAAAGCCTTCTTAGGCTGAGAGAAGAGTGCCCATGTGTTGGAACCTATTTGGCAAGACAGAACATTTGCTCAGGGAGGAAGGGTGGGTTTTGCAGTTTTTATCTGGTGCTGTCATGAGTGCTCCTCGGTGCATGGCTTAGGGACTGTCCTCATTTAAGGACATACAGGCACTGTGGTTTGGGTTCCAAGGGTCTGGCTGCCCATGGACTTGGGCATTTGCAGGAGGAAGATCAGATCAAAGCTAACAATTTATTGGTTGAACTTCTGCTCATGCCAGGTGCTGCGTTGCAGTCCCTGTGTCCCAAAATGCTCTGTTTAGGTGACCCGCTGAAGGTCACATGATCCAGAAGAAGACAGCTGGGACCTAAATCTCTCTCGCTCAGGTTTCCATAGCTGCACTCAACCTTCCTCCACCACCTGCAGCCCAGCCTACCTCAGAGGGCAGGACAGAGGCCCTGCCAGACCCACTGGCTGGTGGCAGGCTGCATGCCATCCCCCAAAAGGCACTCCGACATGGAGTAGGAGAAAGGGGGACCTGCACTGCCGGGTCCCCCCGCGGATGACTCGTGTCCACCCCGTGACCAGAACAAAGCCGTCTCCACTTTTATAATGTTTCTATCTTTTGGGGAAATTTTTCAATGGAAATCAGCATGAAGGAAAAAAGCAGAGGCAATGAACAGTGACCAGGAGGCAGGGACTTCAGTCAGGGCTTTCCACATCTGCTCCGCTCCACTGCTGTCACCTCGGCACTGAACCCGTGGTGGCCAGCGTCAGACCTACCCAACTCCCCAGGAAGCTTGGCTTCCTCAGTTTTCCCAGGTGGCTTATTGTCTACTTAACCCATAATCATCCAGCTTCGCCCCAGGAGGTGGCCTCCTCTCTCACACTCTCTCGGAAGCTAACGGCTCTCCGGCTCTCCGAGGAAGCCTTTCCCACCCGGCACTCTGTGTAGCTGGGGTCAACTGAGCAGGCATGGTACAGGCTCCTGGAACTAAAAGCTTACTACATGCACACGCTGGCTAACCACAGGGAAGTTCCTAACTACTGAGGCAGCAATTTCTGTG